TCCAAGCTTTCGTTGCGGCGCGGAGGGAGCGTGCGCCATTACGTTTGGTTCAGCACATATCTTCCTCGCCGCCTGCTGCACCGTGATACCCCTCCCCCACTTTCGTCCCGTTCATTGCATCTGCAATGCTCGTCACGGCGACTGTATTTATTCGACCGTGTCGGGCCTGCCGGTCTCTCTCGGCTTATTCTGTCGGCTTATCGATCTGCCGCCGAAGAAACATCCCGATCTCTCCTTGTATTCTTTTGAAACTCGGCGCTACTCGCCCCTACTTACTTCGTCAGCATTATTTTGTGCAACAGCTACACTAGATGTTTTCGACTCTGCTTGCTTAATATACTTTGCGGGACTGTGGCTGGCTGGACGAAGCCATTCGCTCGAACGTCGCTTTCACCTACGCTGTTCGTTGGACAACGATGATATCTGATAGATTCATTTGCTTTGGTTGGTTGTGCAATTTTGGTGGATCCATTTGATTTGAGCTGCTTTGTGTGACTGATTTTGCATTGATTAACTTACCATTATGATACCGTCTGATTGGACCTGTTGTCTTTGTGGGCGCAGTGTCGCGAGCAATCGCGACTTTCTATGCAATGTTTATGCATTCTTGGCTGATTGAATGGGAAGATTTCATTGGCTGTAATGTTTTGGCATATTTAAGCGCTCTGGAATTGCACCAGCGCTTTTTGCTCTGTTGGAAGGATAGGTGGTGAGTAGAGAATAAAGGTTGCTGAATCACCGAGTCAGCGCCCAACCATAGGTGCAAAGAGGACGTTTTTGGTGGGCGGTACAAAAAAAAGGAGACACTGGAACACCCATTCATGAGCGTCTCTTTACTTATGGTGAAGCCGTGAAAATGGGGAAAATCTCACGCCTACTCAATGAAGGAGAGATGCCTAGCTGGCAGAGATATGGGGCGATAGGAGCGTAACAACTGTCTGCTACCCTCTTATCGCGCCACACTTACTTTCCACCAGCAAGATGCTACCTTGCTATACTGTACCAGCTGTCTGCTACACTCCTAAAGACTGGCGCACGCCGGTAGACGCCGGAGGACGGACGGACAGACGCTAGATCAATAACTGTTCTTTCCTAGGAAGGAGGGAAGAAATGCAGGGCGTCTTGCGCTGCCGCCGCAAGAACGCTCAGAACGCTGGTGGA